AAAAAAAAAAAAAAAAACCAGGGAAAACTTTGGGGGCCATCAGACCTAACATCATTTTACAGAAAAGCCAGACTGAGAAATTATACCTAATCCTACAAAGGGGTGGGGTGGGGTGGGGTGGGGTGGGGATGGGATGGAAGGGTTCCGTGGAACTCTGGGTAGGCAGTAGGAAGCAGCAGGAAGTACAGGGAACAGGAAGTGCAAGTCTGAGCAGAGCGTGGACACAGAAAGTGCCTGCGTCCCTGGAAGACTTCTTGGAGGAGGCAATAAGGATGATGAACTGTAGCTAACGGGGTCGTAGCAGTGACCAGGGATACTCCTCATGGAGGAAAGACTGTGATTCTTTTTGATCACAGCAGAATCACTGTGTTGCTGTGCGTCCCTTGCTCCAATCACCCACTGTCCTCAAGCCACCCTGGCTTTCTAGAGCAGCCAGCATGACCACGGGAGCAGCTGAGAGTAGCTTCCAAAATGCGAAGGCCTCAGCTTTCAGCTGGGGCTGGGGGAGTTGGCTCCTCCCCAGGTTTCCCTTTAACTCCAGCCCACAAGGCCTGGCATTTTCTTCTAACTCCATGACAGCTGACTACTGAGCTCCAGGTTCTCCCTAGAGCATCACACTGTGCCGTCCTAGCCTGGGGGTCAGGCCTAGGGCAGATGCCTCCTTCCAAGGACAGCAGAGAGTTACTTCCCTGAGTGCCAGATCCTTCTGTCCTGCTTTGAGGCCAGGTCCATCTCTGGGTGTAAGAGGTCTCCGGAACTGACCTCTGGATGAAAAGGTGACTTGGAAGTGGGTATATGGGGGTCAAGGACTGTGGCTTAAGTCCACCCCAGACTGGGGTAGCAGATGGCTTTGGCTTCTGCACAGAGAATTAGCAAGAAGAGTCTGCCCTCTAACTCCCTGGTCAAGGGTGCTGGTCCGATCGCAGGCAGAGCAGAGCAGAGCCCTCATCCAGGACCGGCAGCTTTTCTGGGAAAGCCCCGGGGCCCCCGTGTGGCAACACCCAGAAGCCTCTCCCTCCAGCTGCCAGCCTGACAGGAGGAGCGGGTCCTCAGGAGGTGACCCAGTGGAACCCAGGAGCCATTTCCTCAGGATGCTGCTTGCTATGTTATCAAGGCAAAAAAAAAACTTGAAAGAAAAAGGAAAGAAAGAAAGAAAGAAAGAAAGAAAGAAAGAAAGAAAGAAAGAAAGAAGAAAGAAAGAAAAAAAGAAAGAAGAGGCTAGCTATGAGTGATGCCTGGCAAGCCACTCAGCACAGCCTAGTGATGTAGTAAGCGCGGCTTGTGGTATGTAGCTGAGTCCACGTCACGCTGTGTTCCCATAAGGGTGACTCACAGGAACAATTTCTCTTGGTCTGTGCCAGGGCAGCTGCTTGCTTTTTATCTTTTCAGTTCTACATATCTGTTAGCTGAACACATTTCCCTTTTAGCTTCGAGTGCTCGGAAGCTCCGCCCTGTATTCATGGCTCATCTCTCAGAACCCTACGGCCGGGCTTCCGTGTATAACGCAAGCCTCAGTTTTCTTGTCATTCTCCCAAACATCTATTTATTAAAGATCTGATTGTATGAAATGTTTGTAAACTACTTCCATTTTGTAAAAATTGGGATAGAGTGGAGAGGAGAAAGAAGAGAAAAAAAATTAAATGGAAAAACTTAGGAAGTAATTCTACTAACATTCTTTTGGGTTCAGCTTAAGAACATAAACTCTGGGGCTGGTGAGATGGCTCAGTGGTCTAAAGCACCTACTTAGAACAAGCTTAGCGAAGCCCAGGGACCATGGTTCAATCCCCCAGCACCACATGCCAGCCAGCCCCGCCCCCTGGTGGGCTGAGCTGGCCACACACACACACACACA